TCCTCGTCATACCCATAATCCCAAAGTGTATCAAAGGCAAAGATCCAGGAATGAGCAAGTTGTTTCCCTTACAACAAATGAGACTCATACATTCCCAATCACAGATGAGATAACAGGCACTGCTTCAGCCTCTTTGGAACCATCTTTCCCAGATCTTGATGTCCCCATTGCTGTTAGGAAAGGAAAGCGGAAGTGCACTGCACACTACATTTCCAAACACCTTTCTTATGATCTACTTTCTCCTTCATACTTTGCCTACCTCTCTTCAAATGCTTCTAACCCCATTCCTAGGTTTGTGTCAGAAGCTCTTCGGATTCCAGAATGGAGAGATGCCATAAAGTCTGAAATGGATGCTCTACACAAAAATGATACTTGGGAGGTGGTGGATTTGCTTGAAGGGAAGGATCCAGTTGGGTGCAAGTGGGTMTTTACCATTAAATACAGGGCTGATGGGACTATTGAGAGGTACAAGGCCAGACTTGTTGCAAAAGGCTACACACAGACATATGGGATTGACTACCTGGAGACCTTTGCCCCTATTGCCAAGATGACATCTGTTAGGGTTCTCTTATCTCTGGCAGCTCACTTTGATTAGCCTCTTTATCAGTTGGATGTAAAGAATGCATTTCTGAATGGTGACTTACATGAGGAGGTCTACATGTGTCTYCCTCCAGGAATGTATGGGAAAGATATGCAAGGAAAGGTATGCAAATTGAAGAAATCACTTTATGGCCTCAAACAGTCTCCTAGAGCCTRGTTTGAGAAATTTAGAGCTGCACTTGTTAAATTCGGCTATGTTCAGACAYAGTCAGATCRTACTCTCTTTGTGAAGAAAAGTGGATCTCTAGCARTGTATCTCATTGTGTATGTTGATGACATTATAGTGACTGGTGATGATGCCTCAGGCATTCGGGCCCTTAAGTCTTTCCTCCGTACAGAATTTGAGATTAGGGATCTGGGGGAGTTGAGATACTTCCTTGGCATAAAAGTTGCTAGATCCAAGGATGGGACTCTTATTTCCCAGAGGAAATATGTCCTTGATTTGCTGTCTAAAACTGGAAAAATGGGTGCTAGACCAGCTGCAACTCCCATTGATATGAGTCGCAAACTTTCAGCTTCAGATGGAACATTGTTGGAAGACAAAGGGGTCTTTCAGAGACTTCTTGGGAAGCTCCTATACCAGTGCATGACTCGGCCAGATATTGCGTATGCTGTCAGTTGTATTAGCCAGTTCATGCATGCTCCTAGAGATACTCATATGGCTGCAACAGAACAAATTTTGTGTTATCTGAAAGGCTCTCCAGGAAAAGGAATTCTATTTACCAAGCATGGTCATCTGAAACTTGAAGCCTATACT